GCGCGTTTGTTATTAATAATACACGGTTTAACTGCAGTAGTCTGTCAAAATACATCAAGTCGATTCAGAGTTGTTAACTTCCTGTGGTAAATGAAAAACTGAAATCTGTCAAAATCAGTGACGTCACCGTAATAATCCACCGATTTATTACCACGGAATTATGTGGTAATGTTTTTACAACTTCCTGTCAGTCTTTACCAAATGTTGGTTTGCGCTGCTATTTTACCCATAATCCTTTTGCACTGGTGAGCATTTGATTTCTTTCAATCAAATTTTACCACTAAATTATTTGTATTTATGAGTTTAGATCAGGCATGGCCAAACTACGGCCCGGGGGCCGGATGCAGCCCGTGCAGTTTTTAAAATTCAGCCCGCCAAACTTGTCCAAATTATATAATTGTTTTATATTATCAATGTACTTCTGCCTTTTCCCTGCAATACCCGCGTTTCCCCGATAGATGGCGAAAAAATGCAAAAAGCATTTTAAGCATTTTAGCCTTTATGGACTTTTACATGTCATTTATCTTAGATCACACAAACTCTCCGTTTTTCTGCTTCTGACTTGATTTTTTTTTTTGCTGTAAGGCAAGAGCAGTAACCACTCTTCCACAGTGTGGCAAAGGTGTCTTGGTTTATCTGAAACCTTCACAGGAAGACACATGATTGGACTCTGACTTGAGGTGAATGTTTTTTTTTTATTCTTGTTCAGTGTCAAAAGTACGTCCTTGAGTAAAAATGTAGAAGAAATGGCTAGAAGCTAAAGAGTCAACATATCAGCTCAAGTCATAAATATCAGGTAGATTCTTCTGTAAATGTGATTTAAACGATCTAACTTTCCTCCCCGTTCTCCCCCGCACCCTTGATGAGACGCTTGTTGCCCCTCTTGCCCCCCGGCCCCCGGGGCTTGACGAAGGCCTGCTTTAGGGTGTGCTCCATTGGGTGAACCTCCTCGTACAGGAAGTCTTCCGTCAGGCCGTCGCCACTGTCTATCTCCATCTGTGTGTGTGCAAACACACACGTCAACAAACAGTGGGACAGCCGTCCACGGAGGGCGGAGAATGTTCCGGACTTTACCTTCTTGGTGACCTCCAGTTGGTAATCCCTCTCCACCTCCTCCAGTAGTCTGTTCTTACAGCTGGAGTACAACATCCTCTCCTTGATGCTGCAGGTGTAGCCAGGCATCGAGTAGATAAACACTGGAAGAACAACCGTCAGTCACGACCGTTTCATGACAAAACAGATTTTAAAATTGGAAACAAATGTGTCGAAAACACATTCATCTGCTGAAATATGAAGTTGTTCTGGTGTCTTTGGTCCGTGTTTGAAACGAATGTCCCAATTTGGGTTTGAACTTTGAACTGGTGAAAAACCTTATGGTGACAAAACAAAAACAGATAATATTTTGTTTTATTTTATTTACTTTTAATTAAATAATTTGTAATTAGAAAAATGTCATCTTTTTCTCTAAATTGCGCTGTAATTTACCAAATTGACATACGATCGATTCAAATGAGACAATGGAGCAGAATCCCAGTGGTTCCAAACATATGGACAACAGAACCGTTTGTAGTCCACACTGAGGGCTTTGGTTTTACAACAGGATCGTTGTTGCCCGTTTGTAGTCCACACTGAGGGCTTTGTTTTTACAACAGGATCGTTGTTGTTGTTGTTGGTTCTCAGAAATTATTATTTTTATTATTTTTATTATCCTGGCAGCTGTGATTGTTTAATATTTTTTATATGAAATCATGTGAATAACTCCGTCTGGGAGGAAAAATAAACTCATTTCCTTCAACATTATTATTATTTTAAATTCTCCTTCAGTCCTTAATTTAAGAGACGTAGGAAACTGGAACTGTACTGTGTGTGAACAATAAATGTTACTGGATACATAAACATAATCATTCCTTAACTCTTCTGGAAGCAGCAGAAAAAATTGAATTAAATTTCAAAATCGTTATCAAATGGTTATTTTCTGTAAATATTTTCAGTATTTGAAGCTTTTTGATGATTGATGATTATCCATCCATCCACCTGTGGTTTCTTTGTTCATCTGTGATGATAAAAACATAGCAGACCAACTGGGGACTAACCCAAGTCAGTGCACATCAGACACGGTACTGACCCAAAGCCTCCTGCTGCTGGCCCTGATGGGAATGTTTGAAGACGAAGAAGTGGTACCGAGGAGAATCTTTGGGAATCCTGAAGGGAAGCTCGTGGGTCTCTGTTGGTTTGGTGTGAACCAGCTCAATAGTCTCCTTCTCCACATCCAACCTCTGTGACGTCACAGAAACAAACAAACAAACACAGTGTCAGAACTCAGGCTGTGGACGGACTTTAACTACAGGAT